CTTCACACAGTCGGTGGAAGAAAAGTACGTAATGTACACCAGCGGCATAAAAAAGGGTGTTTCTGGATGTGGAAATGTATCCTACGTCAACAGCCTCATCTAGGAATGACAGTTTGTTGTGCTGGGCATGCTTGTCTCACACACAAGCACTTGTTTTGTGTGTGTCCGGCTTGATCGCATGGGGGAGGTGACAGTTTGTTGTGCTGGGCATGCTTGTCTCACACACAAGCACTTGTTTTGTGTGTGTCCGGCTTGATCGCATGGGGGAGGTGTGCGCGCTCCTGCCCATCTGACAAACGGGAAACCCGCCAAAACCACAGTCACGCACAACCAGCTAAAAAGCACGCACATTTCTTTTCTTGTGTAAAACGTGTTCATCATTTATGTCCAAATTTCTGTAGTAATGACTAGACTAAACGAAGATGAAGATATTTTACACTGTGTTCATAAACCAAATGTGTACATTCAGAGTCATCGTGTTAAATAAAATGGAAACGCTATTTTGACCATAATTATTTGCAACTTATTTTTCCTTAAGATGAAATGTTTTTTGCACTCCCCCCTAATCCTACTCTCCCCCCCCCTTTTTTTTACGTTTTCATCTCACAGTAAATCCAGGTGGACTAAAACTTCTTCCTGTATTAGTAGAACAGCAGTGGCCTGAAGAAACAGTGTCCTGGCTTTAGCTTCTAAACCAGAGAGCGAGCTTCTGTTATGTGGTTCTCCCATCTCACACAACTTTCTGTAAATCCCATGAATGCCAGAGACATAGCTAGAAAATGAACTGAGCTCTTCTTGGTCCACAACCGAGAAATATTTCTTCTTGGAATTTAGAATGACGCAGATGAAAGAGATATTACTTAGGGAAGCACATTCAAGCCAAGTTTCACTGAAATTTGATTATTGAACATCATAGAATCTCAGGCTAGAACAGACTTGTAAACATGTTACTATTAACTGCCCCCAGCAGCCCACCAAAGTACTTTCAATCTTTTCTGCAAATATTAGTAAAGAGAAGGGAGTGCCATACCTCCTTAAAGGCACCTATTACAGTTTTAGAGGGCTCTGCCTCGATTGTACTCTATTTATCCAATCGTGTAGGTCACTATGTGCACAAGTCACTGTAGGAGAAACAAAGGTAAGCAGAAAGTTACGGGGAGCTCTTCCTTCTATGGAATTGAAGTGTCTCCTCTGTCCCTCATAACTTCCCAGTTCACAAGTCTGGGGCGGGGCACATACACATCAAATCCATCTTTATGACAGCCTCTAGGCATGCAAATCGCTCTCCTGTCCTTCTGGATCCACTGTTCCCATTTCCTGCAATGATGTGCCTCTGAGCACAGAGCCAGACACAGCGAGCTCCCTCAGCCAGATGGAAACAGAAGGTCTGCACCTGGCCCAGGGCCTGTTCCCTGAGTGGATAGTGGGCCTGGTGGGCTGACAGACCCTGCTGCCTGGTTCTGGAAGGAAGTTCATTTCTATGGTAGAATGTGGGATTGGGAGGCCATAGAGACAGAGCCAGGTGAACTAAAATTCCTTCTATCGGACAATCATCGTGTACCTCTTTTGGGGAGAATCTTCTGGTGTCCCGGCTGGTAGGCTTTATCTGACAAAAGCGTCAGCAGAGAGCACAGTCTTTGTCCCTCTGGATCAGGAGAACTGATAAGGCCAGGACAAGAGTTTGAGTCGTGAAGGGAAGGGAGCTGAGAACCCAAGATGGGGCACGGGCCAGGGCTGGACTAAAAAGGCCTGGAAAGCCGTTCTTCTGACTTGATTTTGAATTCTTTAGCAACCTATTCATTCTGTTCCCTAAACAATTCCATCTGTGGTTGTCTCTCACAGGGTGGTGCCTGGACCCATTCTCCACATGTGGTCTGACCTGAGCATGGCGGCATAGGGCCAGCCACCATTATTCTAGGAGTTTCTTATCTACTGAGACAGCCTGGGATCAAATTGGGGAGACACAGCTGCAAGTTATCTTGGGGGACAGTGTGTTTACAGAGTGAGAGAAAACATTTTCAAAGCTTGGATTATGCATTGAATACGGTTTCTGATGGTGTTCCTAATGGGAATTGGTCTTGGTGGTGTTGCAGGAAAATAAGGCCATGAGGCAGTGCTGCATGTGACTTTAGTCACATGGATGGGAGCCCACTTTTGGGCCAGAAGTGACTATTTGTAAATAAGGGGCCTATTTTGGAGAAGGTGAGAGCTTGTTAACTTGGGTGGTTATAAATGGATTATGCGATTATCTCCAACTCACTCTCCCGAACTGTCAGTTTACAAGAACCAGTTCCTGCCCTCTCTTAACCTTCCTCAGACCGTTAGCACAGAGCCATAGTGCTCATCTCGTTCCGAGAAGGAAACCCCAAAACACATGGACACCTCAATCCATTCTTACTCTTAAATGTGATTCTGAGAATCTTACAAAAAATTTAAGCCATTCAGTTCAATTTGAGATTCTTTGGTGGGAGGCAGGAAGCACCATGGTCAAATCAGGATTTGGCAGAAAAGTTTCACTCACAGGACACAGGGCCAACTTTCTTGCACCGCATGGGAATGTGCTAGAAAATCTGGTGCTAACACCTTATGAGTATTCCTGCCTAACATGCATAACCTAACCTGACCCTGAGTGCAGAAACATCACACGAACCCATGGGAAAGACATGCTACAAAATAACTAGTCTGTACTCTTCAAACCCATCCATGAAAGGCAAAGATAGATTGAGAAACTGTTCTAGATTAAAAGAGACAAAAAAGATGTGACACCTAAATGGAACATGTCACCCTGGACTCGTCCGAGATCGCTAAAAAATGGCCAAAAAGGAAATTATCTTTTTGTTAGGCTCCCTGCAGCTCAGTTAGGAGAGCATCCAACTTTATCAATTGTAGACTCTCAAATGACATTTATTTCCAAAATCTTCTGCATGGTTATTGCTCTTTTTTGGAAGCTGCGAGAGATTTCTACAGGAGGAGTAAGTAGGCTTTTGCCCAATGCAATGTTGAAGAAGCAAGCAGGCGACACTAAAAATGAGACCTTTGCCCAGTAGGCAAACTCAATGGAAGGAACAGAGCCGGGGGCGAGGGGGTGGCTGTAGGGGACACACTTCATCAGTGTGGCAAACCTGACGTCAGTAGATGCGCTACAACAAAACATTTTCCTGAAATAGCCAAGCTCAACACTCCACTCCCCAAAAAGAAGCAAGCTTTTCAGGCAATAAACCATCTGTTTCAAGTGTTTAGAAAACGGATCTCCAATCACTGGTAATTTAAACTTCCTTATACCCCAGTTCAATGCTTGATAAGGAAAGAGTGCTAACAAGATGGGAACTGAGTTACTATATTAAGAAACCCAGACAGAACAAAAACCAGCCTCCTGCGGTCGTTTTGTTTATGCTGTAGACCCATCTGTTTTAATTAACATCATATTTACATGAGACCAGCTCCTGGTACAGCGTTTGCAGCAACTGTCACATGGTTTGTTCTTTGTTTTTTATGAAGATTTTGCAAAAGCGTAACTGAGACCAGGCCTGAATAAGGGATATATAGTGGAATCATGTCACAGCATCCTAGCTTCCCCAGGCCAGGCGCACCTGCTGTGGGGTTTTGAGCCAGGTGTCAGATGGCCGGAGAAAAATATAGATGTCCAGTTAAATTTGAATCTAAGATAAGCAATGAATAACTTGTTTGGTATAAATATGTGCCATATATTGCATGGGACATATTTATACTCAAAACATGTTCTTTGTTTATCTGAAATTCAAATTTAGTTGGGTGTCCTGTGCATTTATTTGCTAAATGTGGCAACCTTAGTCAGCTAGTGCTCTGCAGGTTTCAGGAATGGAAAGAGCCAGAGGAAAATAAAGTAGCTATCCTTCCGTTCCCACGTGGGCTATTCAGAGAATCACAAATCAAGCCTAGCAAGGTTCATTGTTGAAGAACAGCTTTGAGATTGGAGATTGAAATCTACTTGTCCATGATACCTGCTATATTGAAAACAGTAACGTTACCTCACACGTCATCCTCCCCATTCCCCTGAAAATCTTTCCTTTAAAAATTTTAAAGATTGGGACGCCTGGGTGGCTCGGTCAGTTAAGTGGCTGCCTTCAGCTCAGGTCATCATCCCAGGGTCCTGGGATCGCATCCCACATCGGGCTCCCTGCTCAGCCAGGAACCTGCTTCTCTCCCTCTGCCTGCCGCCCCCCCCTACTTGTGTGCACTCTCTCTCTGACAAATCTTTAAAGATTTTATTTATTTATTTGAGAGAGAGAGGCTGGGAAGAGGGGCAGAAGGAGAGGGAGAGAATCTCAAGCAAACTCCCTACTGAGCACGGAGCCCAACCTCACGACCCTGAGATCATGACCTGAGCCAAATCAAGAGTCCAAAGCTTAAGCGGCTGAGCCACCCAGGTGCCCCAAAAATCTTACCTTTAAAGGTTCTTTTTCTCATATTGACTTTGCCTGTTTTAGATTTTGTTAAATTCATAAAAGTGAAATTGCTAGAGAAAAGGACATGCACATTCAGAATATACCATTCTGAGAGATACTAGCAAGTTCATCTCCAAAATGTTATACAAATTCTACTCTATCAGCTGTATACAAGAGTACTGTTTCTCTACAGTTTCCAATATTCAACACTACTGCTTTTCTTGATGGATGCTGCTCTTGTTGAATTGTGTCCCCCAAGTTCATAGGTCGAAGCCTTAACCCCCAGTACCTCAGAGTGTGACCTTATTTAGAAATAGGGTCTTCAAAGAGGTAGTCAGTTGAAATGAGGTCATTAGGGCAGGCCCTAACCCAACACGATTGGCGTCCTTATAAAAAAGGCAGATTTGGACGTAGAGAGAGCCATGAACATGGGGTGAACACAGTGTGAAGATAAACGCAGAGGTCAGCATAGTGCATCTTCAAGCCAAGGACCTCCAGTGATTGTCAGAGGACCACCAGCAACTAGGAGAGAGGTGTGGACAAGATCTTGTATCACAGCCCGCAGAAGGAACCTACCTTGCTAACACCTTGATCACAGACTTCTAGCTTCCACAGCCATGAGACGATCAATTTCTGTTTCTCAAGCCGCCCTGTTTGTGGTACTGTTACAGTAGCTCCAGGAAACCAATACAGATGCTAAGTACAATAAATATGAATACATTTAAATTTATTTCTGTAATGATTGGTGAGTTTGAATATATTTGTTTATATTTCTTGACTAATTCTCTTTATTCTATCAAGAGACTTCTTTTATCCATTGTTCATATTCTCCTAACTGATTTATTGGCACATATTAAGCCATATATGTTGTGTGCAATTAATCCTTTATTATAGACTGTCAATAGTTTTCCTGTTTGTTGCTTCTCTTTTAACATTTCAAAAATACTGTGTTTTGCTGCTCAAACTTTTTACATTTTTATTTAGTCTTTTCCTTTGTGACTTCTTGGTTTTGTGCATCATGCTTAGAAATGGTTTCTCCATCTCAAAGTTATGAAAATGTTTTTTTCAGCAGGGGAATGTGTGGCCTAGCTTAATGAAACAGCCAAAGGAAGAAGAAGAGGTTGAGGGAATAGGGATGTTTTTTCCTGACTCAGACCATCATAAAGCAATTTCACACTGGGCCTGGAAAATGTTGAAAGCCTCACTTTATCTTATAAGTTCTTCAAAAACCTCCAATTTTGCAATTGCCTCTCAATCCATAGTTCCCATGACCAGAGAGCTGGTTGCTTACTCCTCCCTCAATGCCCAGGGAACCGGAAGCCAACCCCAGTTTCTTCTGTGCTAATGTTCCATCACGTCTTCAGGTTGTCGTACTAGATGTTCCCATTCTCTGTCCCTGTGGGACCAACCATACCCGAACAGTGCTCGGAGTATAATACCTCACCGGTGTGGAAGCTAGCCAGGGGCTCCTTGAGTCTCTCTCTCTCGGTCTCTTTACATGGCTACCTCAGGGTAACTGGGCCTCTTATGTGGTGGCAGAAGGTTTCCAGAATACCTGTCCTAAGAGTGCTAGTGAGGCAGAAGTTGTTTTGTCTTTTATTAACCAGCCTCCAAAGACATGCAGCATCACTTTCTCCACATTCTATTCTGTAGGACTGAGCCATGAAGGCCAAATGATCAATGGGATGGGAACTAGACCCATCTTCTGAAGGGACATATGTTGATGATTTTCAGGCATCTTTGAATACTCCCATCAATAACATCTAAGAAATCTAAGAAATCTCTAAGCTGATTCCCTCTCTTCTGTGCACTGTCCTTCATGGGTCCATATGCCTGCATTCCTTGCCCCACTTACCCTGAGAGAGCCAGCCTGTCCCTGCTCAACATTAACTTCTGTTCTTCACTCTTCCACCAGAGCAGGTCAGCAGCTTGGCTTCTGAACTTGGATTTCCTTCATGGGGCTCAGACTTGAGTGCTTGATCTTCCTCCCCACAAACATGGGAAATGCATGTCAAGTTTTCCGTGGGGGCACAGTTTGAAGCAACTCTTACTTCACTTCAAGGGTAGGGTGGGCATTCTTCCCCTCCCCTTAATTCCAAAATGCAGAAACAGTCCAAGTGAATTCATAGTCACAAAATCACATTTTGAATACACGTAGGCATGGAAAATATTTCCTTAATGAGAAAGTTTTTTTCTTAAATTAAGTCAAATTGTGATAGGTTTTAAAAATTTGGTGAGTCAACATGGCTAAACACCATGTTTAAGCTAGAGCCATAAGCCTCTTTCAGTTCTGTTTGTTTATTAGATTTTAAATAAATTCTAATTTGGAATTCTTGCTGTTTGGACAAAGGAATAGCAGAAAAATTAAGTAACCTAACTAAAGTCAACAAATTAGTCAGTGGAAGAATTAATCATTAAGACCTAGTTACTGCAACTTCTTATGTTGGGATTCAACCTGACATGCAACCAAGATGTTTTTAGTGAACTTTTATCCTAAGATTTGCTTCAATACTTGGGGTTGTTGTTGTTGTTGTTGTTGTTTTTAATGAGCAGAAAACAAACAAAAAACTCCAGATCCTAACAGACTATCTTCTATATTTTCCAAACTTCTATGAACATTTTTGAACAAAAGCCGGATTTTAAGACTGCCAAGCAATATAGCAAGTGCAGATCTACGTAATGTGGTTGAATGCCATTGGCTCGAGGAGTTGCAAAGTGAGAAGCAAAGTGCTTTTGAAACAACCCAGGAACGCGGTGTTGAAAAGCCGCATGTAGAGTTAAGTAAAGGTTGGAGGCAGTGCGGACTCCCAGGCAAGTACAGTAACCAAGTCCCGTGATCCATCACCTTCAGGTTTGTTGTTTTTTGCCATGACAACAGCTTATCTTTGGTAGATGTTTTTGGATCCACAGCTGACACTTGAGGAGGTGGCTTTTCTTAACCGGATTGATGAATGAAGACCAAATATGAAAATGAAGCAACAGAGCAAGAGATTTCTCTGTGGAGCAGATCAAGGGATTCAGTATAACTGCTCTTTTCATGATGACACAAGTGATGTCAAAAACACACCAAGTGGAGCATACTGGTTTCTCTGAGCTCTTATATTCACAAAGAAGATGCAGTGAATCGATCACATACAGCTCATTGGAGCCCTTTAGAGCTATGACTAGTGCTATTCCTAGCACAATAACTAAAATCGGTAATGGAAACATCCAACTGTTGGCCTCTAATCCTTGCACCCAGGCAAATTAGATCAACCCGAAGTCCCAGTGCCAGATTTCAGACTCTGCTAGGCCCACCCTGAGTTTGCGTGGCCATCTTGTCATTCTGGACAAGAAGAGTACAGGCGCTGGGACAGACCTCGTCCTTGTCTTCTCCTTAGACCACCGAATGATCCCACCCTTCTCTTTGAGCTGTCTAGAACAGGGATGGCAACCCCCGGGGCCAGGCAAGTGAGGTGGCCTGGAGACTGCGGAGGGCTTAGATTCCACCTGTTGGCAGCAACACTGGTGCAGGTCCAGACAATGGTTGCCATGTAGAGTTTAGGCCCATGTGTGCCAGATCTTCCAATTTTTAAGATGAGCTAGAAATCTGGAATTTCAAATTTTTTGAATGCTTCCGTCTGATTCCAGAAAGCTTCTCCATTCTGCGAAGTACAAATAATGCATCTCCGTGAGCCAGATTTGGCCCACAACCTACCTCTCTGGTCTCGAGGTTAGTTGGAACATGGGGAGAATCACAATCCCCCTGACTGGGTCTATGATTTTTCCTACTGAGCCCAGAGCTCTAGCAATGGTGTCCAGAACTGGAACTCTTCCTCTTAAGGCTCATTCTCTCTGTTTGACTCTCAGCTGCTTCTCTTAGTCAAGAAGAATCAGGAATTGGGTTGGGAGTTTCCTTGCCCCCTCCTACCCAGATCTGGAGAGATTACCTCTGCTCCTTGGTAGTACAAAGTCAACAGCATCTTTAGAGTCCCCGGTAGGCCTGTTAAGGCCTGCCCTTGTTCCTGGCATTGTTCCTACAGCTCAACATTAGAATGGGACTTTCTCCAACAAAGAGGCATTCTATTCCAATAGTTCTCAGGCTACATCAGAATCATCCGAGGAATAATTTTTTAAAAAGTGTCTGGTCTTACCCAGGAGAATCAGATTTGGTTAAAGGGGTATGATGTTGGGGAGCAGTTCTCAAATGTTTTGTCCTCAAGACCCCTTTGCATCCTTAAAAATTACTAAAGATCCCAAAGAACTTTATGTGGGTTATATCTATTTATATTTACTACTTACAGTTATTGTATTTTTAACTGAAAATATTTAAATATATATTTACTAATCCATTTTAAAATTAATAAACTCATTGCACGTTAATATAAACATATTTTGAGAATAATAAATATATTTTCCAAAACAAAAGTGATGAGAAGATTGGCATTGCTTTACAATTTTACAAATCTTTTCAATGTCTGGCTTAATGAAAGACAACTGGATTGTCCTCTCTGCTTCTTCATTCAATCCATTGCAATATGTTGTCTTGGTTGAAGAGATGAAGAAAATTTGACCCCCTACAAATTTGCAGTTAAAAAAGGGAGACATATTTTAATAGCTCGTTCAGATAATTGTGGATATTCTTTGATACTACACTAAAACTTAGTGAGTGATACTTTCTTAAATGTTAGTGGCAAAGTGAAATTTTAAAGATTTTATTTATTTATGTGAGACGGAGAGAATGAGAGAGAGTACATGAGAGGGGGGAGGGTCAGAGGCAGAAGCAGGCTCCCTGCCGAGCAGGCAGCCCGATGCGGGACTCGATCCAGGGACTCCAGGATCATGACCTGAGCCGAAGGCAGTCGCTCAACCAACTGAGCCACCCAGGCGCCCCAAAGTGAAATTTTAAATCGTATTAACGAACCCTGTACTTAGTTACATTAAAATCCTTTGGCCTTTTTGCACTTTTTTTTTGGTCTCACCATTCTGGATGCCAGAAGTCCAGAATCAAGGTGTTGGCAGGGTTGGTTTCTTCTACTTTTAAGAACATTTTTTGAGTATAATTGATACACAATGTTACATCAGTTTCAGGTGTACAACACAGTGATTCAACATCTCTCTATTATGCTGTGCTCCCCACAGTGTAGCTCCCATCTGTTACCATACAACGCTATTACAGTATCATTGACCATATTCCCTGTGCTGTACGTTTTATTTCTGTGACTTACTCATTCCACGACTAGAGGTCTTCTTGCACTTTTAATGGATATTTTACCTAAGAATGATTCTATAATATCATGCTTTTGTCATTTGGAAAATATTTGTTCACACATCTTCTAAACGTTGACACACTTCATTATACATATACATCATCACACATCATGTAGCTCTGGGAAAACTTTATCGTATAGTTCTCATTCTCCCTGAGAGAATGAAAACGATAAAAGCAAGTATCTTGGATTGTTGTGAAAATGGTTTTGACCTCTATGGACCCCCTGGTGTATCAGAAAGAGCCCTTTTCTAGAATTATATAGATCTACTATATATAGTGCTACAGGCTAGCTAAGCGACCTTAAGAAAGTTTCCTCACCTTTCTATGGCAGTTTCTCAGTTTTAAAATGGAAGTTCGGGGGACGCCTGGGTAGCTCAGTCGGTTAAGCAACTGCCTTCGGCTCAGGTCATGATTCTGGAGTCCCGGGATCGAGTCCCGCATCCGGCTCCCTGTTCGGTGGGGAGTCTGCTTCTCCCTCTGAGCCTCCCCCCTCTCATGCTCTCTCTCTCTCTCTCTCTGTCTCCCTCCATCTCTCTCTCAAATAAATAAATAAAATCTTAAATCAAAGGTAGAAAAACGTGTTGTTGTGAGGGACTGTCCCTCGTGTTATGGGATAGTTAACATCTCTATCTCCCTCACTAAACACAGGTTGTAGCCCATCTTCAATCCTTCAACACACCCAGAACCCTGGAGTAAACCCTCTAGGGGGCGATATTGCCTCCACTTGAGATCTATTGGACTGAATGAACTTTAAGTTTCCTTTTAATTCTGACACCAACTCTATTAAAAAGTGAGAAAATGACCTAAAATAAGTGAGCATATTTTGAATTTCTCCTTTGCTTTGTGTGTATGTGTGTGCACACATCTATTTTAAATGTATCTAACTTGAACAAATGTTTATGACAATTTTGGTCTAATGACAGAGAAGGTAGCACGATTAGAAGAGCGAGAGTGGAGGCAGGAAGGGGAAATAAGTGTAGGGGAAAAAATCCACATTCTCCTGCCACATTTTTACGAACGAAGAATTCATAAAATCTTTAACAGTGGTTAGTGTTCTGTGTATCCACTTGAGCAGCTGACCTGAGGTGTGGGAAGAGAGAGCCAAGGGAAGAGTTCCCTAGACTACCAAACTCTGGAGACCATATAGACAGCCATGAAAACGACCCTCAGCCAGCCCTAACTCCTTTCTGCTCCTGAAGGGGCAGGTGTGTCCTAGAGGCTAAAAGCCTGAGTGCTAGAGCCAGCCTGCCTGCTTCTTACTTAACCCCTCTATGCTTCTGTTCCCTCATCTGCCGAGCGCAAAAAATAAAAGCACCTACCTGATAGACTTACTGTGAGAAGGAACTGTGTGAACGCATACGACGTACTTGGAACAGTGTGTGCCAGTGAATAACGAAGCAATAAATGTCAGCTAATAGTGTTACTAAGTGAAGGCAGGAAGCCCAGCTCCCTACTGCTGAAAAGTTCAGGCCACCTTTGATGTTTTGTTCACCTTTCTCTGTTACATTTTTCCATTCTCCTCCCATAAGGCTGAATATAAAACTGATTTATCATACTTTTATGTGAGCACATGCGCAGTTGGTTTTCAGAGGGGAAAACACCATGTTTATAAACCTGGATGGTTTCAGTGAAGAGCTCCCAGACTGCTTTCCTGATGTTCATTCTAAGTAAAGGCAAAGAAATTTCCCAAAGCCCCATAAAGCGGGCACACCAGAATTTTGGGGGATGGGAACACACACTTTTAAATGGGGCTGATCTGAAATTATCTCTGTTGGCAACGAAAATCCCACAGAAACAGGCCAAAATGGAACTCCTGAGATTTCTAGCTTTGAGAATGGCCAGTGAGAAGAAAATTCTAGATTTAAAAGGGAGACCACCTTGCCAGGACTTTTCCACAGAAAGCATTTGGAAAAGATTGGAAGGGAATCCTGGAGATCTTCCTGTATAGTCTTCCTCTTCCTCCCCCAGAAAGACAGAGATTGGTTTACTTTTGGCATTCTGCTCTTTGCAGAACCTCTCCATGGGCTCCAAAGAATTTATACTTTCACAGCACCAGAGAAATGATGGTGGTGGGGGGAGGCTAAGCAGGCAAAGGCACCCACCTCTTGGGTTAACTGCGCCCTATTTGTGACCTGACTTCCGGCTGACTCACGGAGTTCTGAGAGAAGAGTTCTGACAGATGTGTATACTCCATCAGCATTGCAGAGATAAGGGTAGGTGATCTCACAGCAAAGCTTCTGTATGTTTGTGTATGTTCGTCTCTGAATAAATACTCTCTAGTAGAGCTTCTCGGTCCGTGTTTCTCGTATCTGTTCCTAAGTGGCCCAGACACTTAGCTACTCTTTCCTCAAGATTCTACTAATGAGGGCGCCTGGGTGGCTCAGTCGGTTAAGCGTCTGCCTTCGGCTCAGGTCATGATCCTGGAGTCCCGGGATCGAGTCCCGCATCGGGCTCCCTGCTCTGCGGGGAGCCTGCTTCTCCCTCTGCCTCTCTCTCTCTCTCTCTCTGTGTCTGTCATGAATAAATAAATAAAATCTTTATAAAAAAAAAAAGATTCTACTAATGACCAATTTAAGAACCACCCTTACCGTACCCACCATAAGACTACCACTCAAGTGTCATCTTCCCCAAGAGGCTCCCCCACATTTGGTGCTGGGTTCTTCTTTTTTATGTGTCCTATCAGCAACCATTACACACGGCCATTACAGCACGCGTCCTGTCAATCTGGAAAAGTCTACTCACAAGGACTGTATTTTTAATAATTTCATCCCATACCTACCAGGAATATTGTCTCTCCTGTTTCCTTTGCCAGAATGCCCTTCTTAGGGCTCACTCTGAAAACCCATCTATTCTCTTACTGAGGACTCTATTTACTTCTTATGTAGCATTAATCATCACCTGCAGCTTTTCTATTTGTTAGTTTTCTAGTATCTGTCTCTCTGTCCCTCTAGAAGGACCCTGTGTGAAGGCGAGGACCTTGCTTTCTTGTCTCCATCACAGAGCTTGGCTTTCACGAGCCAAAAATATTACCTAGAATAAATGATAACATGCCTGGCACATACACGATAGCCAAAAAGTACCTAAAATTCAGTCCAGAGCTGCATCACTGCATATCTTTCCAAAAATGAATTCTCTGTATTTTTTTGTTGTTGTAGAAAACTCTTATTTCATGCTGACCAGTTACACACACACACACACACGTATTATGTGGAAATGATGCAAAAGTCTTTTTCGGTGGGATGGTGTCTGCTGGTGACAAGGACTGAGTACTTCCTGGAGACTACTGGTTCTTCAGGGCTTTGAGACAAAGCACATTTTCTTTAAAAACCCTTCCTTTGGTGGGCGCCAGGGTGGCTCAGTCGTTAAGCGTCTGCCTTCAGCTCAGGTCATGGTCCCAGGGTCCTGGGATCGAGCCCCGCATCGGGCTCCCTGCTCCGCGGGAAGCCTGCTTCTCCTTCTCCCTCTGTCCCTTCCCACTGCTTGTGCTCACTCGCACTCTCTCTCTCTCTCAAATAAATAAGTAAATAATCTTGAAAAAAGAAAGAGAAAAAAAAACCCCTTCCTTTTGAAACGATTGGAAGCACCCTTGGGCATTCCTTTCTTGGTTTTAGAGCAGGGGCAGACCCAAGGGACCTGCCCTGTAGCCCATGTTGGGATGTATCTGAGGCTCGCTCCAGCCCAGTGCTCTGGACCCATCAATTAACGTTCCCACCTCCACTTACCTACCCAGGCGGGGGTAAAGACCTCGGAAAATATTGTTTCCTCAATATTTCCTCCAGCAAAGAGAAATACTGTTTGTCACCATGGAGTAGACAAGACAGGATCTTTTCTTTTTCTATGCATTTTTTTTCCTTGGCATAGCTGTCATTCAGGTCCTGCACAGGTGGTTGTAGAAGGCAGGATGAGGAGGGGCCCCGAGGATGCCCAGGCCATGGCTCTCACTGGGTCACTTCCATACAGGCCACCCTACAATGAATTCAAGCAATAAAGTCTCTCCGTAGGTGAAGTACCCCGGCGCTGAGAGGCCCATGTGCTCCCAGATGGCTTTACAGCTCCTCTCCAAAAGAGCCACTGACTCTTTTTTTTTTTTTTTTAAGATTTTATTTATTTATCTGACAGAGAGACACAGCGAGAGAGG